AGCGTGAATTTGCCTAGTTTATAATGTTTGGACAGAACAGGTGTTAAACTAGCTGCTAGTTCTGGGGGGCTACTGTCATTTCTCAATATTTCTACTAATTTTAGTAATTCACTATTTTGGTCATAACTTCTCTGAACTAATTCATAAAAGGCATTTTCCATGTCACATACGTGAATTCCTAGGATAGGGAATATGTCTTCATCCTCAGGATCATAGGCGGGGTTATCAGGGGTATTGGGGAGTGCCCATCTACTTAACCCATCAGCATTCAGGTGTTTCTTGCCTGCTTTATGGATGATAGTCATATGTCCTCTATACTGCTGAATAGCAATTTGCCATCTTAACATGTGCCTGTTGGGGGTTTTCATGTTCATCAGAGTTTTGACAGCTGTGCAATCAGTGATAACTACAAAGTGAGAACCTTCTAAGTAGTAGTGTAATTTATCTAGAGCCCATACTAAAGCTAAGCATTCCATTTGGCTGGCTCCATATTTCCTCTCAGATTCTTTAATTTGTCTGGATATAAAGAGAACTGGTTTTTCCATGGGTTTGTCATCTACAATAAATTCTTGATGAAGAGCTGCTCCAAGCCCATCTAAACAAGCATCAATATAAAGTATAAATGGTTTGTCATAATCTGGTTGGGCTAGGACTGGTGCAGAAGTGAGTAATCTTTTTAATTCCTCATAGTTCTTTACTCTTTCCCAAGTCATCTCATAAATGGTGTCATCTTTACATAGTGCGTATAAATTCTTACTTACTATGGCAAATTGAGGGATGTGTTGCCTGTAGTAACTACAAAAGCCTAAGAATGACATCATTTCTTTCAAGTTATGAGGAAGAGCTTTGTTCATCACGGCAGCCACTTTGTTTTGATCTACAGCTAAAGTTAGGCCAGATACTATCCTACCCAGAGCTTTAAGTTCTCCATAGCCAAAATTGCACTTTTTAATGGACATTTTTAAGCCAGTTTTGATGGCGGTACTAAGCACTAGGTTAATTTTCTCCAAGTGGGTTTCCCAATCATTTGAATATATAATTATGTCATCTATGTAGACCATCATCCAATCTTGTCTGATAAATGCGCCAAAAATTGAGTCCATCATTCTTTGGAAATGGGAAGGGGCATTTTTTATTCCAAAGGGCATTCTTAAATATTCATATATTCCCAAATGACAAATTATTCTCAAAAATTGTCTGCTATCTGGGTCAATGGGTATCTGATGGAACCCTTTAAGAACATCCATAGTTGTGATATATTTAGCTTTGGATAAATTATGCAATGAGTGATCAATACGTGGGATTGGGTAATAATCAGGTCTGGTGTAGTTATTCAGGGCTCTGAAATCACCAACCATTCTTGATTTCTCATTATGCCAAGCAATAATTACTGGAGTAGTAATTTCTACTTGTTCATTGTGTCCAACTTTCCTCAGCACGCCTAATTCCATTAGCTCTTTAATGTGAGTTTCTAACGCTTCTCTGGATTTAGGACTGGAAGGATAAGGGGGTCTTCTCAAGATGGGAGGATAAGGTTCTTTAACAGTTAATTCCAACTTCATGTCATGCCCTTTTATGTTACCAATAGGTTCTTCAGTAGTACAAAAGGATTCTTTATTTATGAAGCAAGTTTTAAGTACGTCTAATTTCTGTTGCTCATCTAAAATATCACTGACAGCTGCTTGAGAAAGATATTCAGTTTTGAAGGACATCATTTCTTCCGTCATTTCATCTGGCACATCAGGGAGTTTGATATTCACATTGCAAATTTGAAATTTCCTTTTCCAATCTCCTCCAATAGTATAGAATCTGTTTTTACTTTGAAATATGTCAATTCCATACATGCAAAAGGTGTCATTTCCTAGGATCAAATAATCACAAATGGCATCTTGAAGAACTACAAATTCTATGGACAGTCTTAAAGATCCTTTGGAGTGCGGAAAGATTAATGGCATTACTACAATTCCTAAGGGTTTCATTGAAGAATTACAACTACTAAATTTTGCTTTGGGGA